AAATAGATCATGATCTAGTTCAAACCCGCGTTCATTTAAAAATTATCAAATTTCTTCTGGCTTACGAGTTTGCTGGGGCGCTTTTTCTGACCCCCTCGCTTGAACCCAAGTATGCGTTTCCACTAAATTTTTACACTAAAAAAATATTCATTTTCCGACTTGTTTGAGGAAAAACAAAAGAAAACAACGAAAAGCAGGCTCAGTATCCAAGGGTACATCGAGTTCTTAGGGTACATTGGATCAGAGGGTACATCAGTTCTTAGGGTACATCTGGGAGGTAGGTTCAAGGGGTACATCTGGCGTTGGTTCTGAGGGTACATCGGAGAAAGGATCCCAGGGTACATCGACAAGTTCTTAGGGTACATCAATTAAAAATTTTGTAGTTTTCAACTTTGAGTTTTATATTTATTTCAACGAAGGGGAGAAAACCACTAACACGTGAAATGTCTATGAAACTAGGAGATATAACAGGGACATACATTTGTAGTAATTGAGAGATGAAGGATAAACCGAGTTAGTAATTAGTTGAATTCAAGACAAGAAAATGTTTTAGATCACAGGATAATAGTCGATTTTTGAAAGCCGCTGACGAGGGCTTTACCGGAAACACATTGGCGGGTAAAGAGTTCCAACATCTGATTACTCTATTAGAGAGAAATTGAGGAGATATTTTTGTTGAGTTTTTGATAAGTGATTTGAGATAGTATTTGTGACGACGCAATGATCCAGCATGATTAAATATTTCGAAAATTGGAACCTCCATGATAATTTCTTTGGAAACAATAATTTTATACGTGTAGACCAAATCATTATAGAGCCTGCGATACTCCAAGGAACTTAGCCGACATTCTTCCAGTGCTTCAAAGTATGAAGTGTATGCCATCCTGAATTTTTTGAAAACTCTGAAAACAAATGACTTTTGCACCGATTCCAATTTTATAATATGATCCTTTAGGATTGGAGAAGTGACTATCGTTCCATATTCGAGTAAAGGGCGTATGTAAATTGTATAGCATTTTATAAAAACACTCCACGATGCGTTTTTTAGAATGGAAAAGAACATATTGATCCTCTGATGTGATTTCCGAATAATCAACGAATAATGATAATGGAAACTCAGGTTACTGGAAAAGTAGATTCCAAGATCACGGACATTTTCCACAGGGGGAATCAAAGCTTGATTTAATTTGGGTTTCATAACATTGGAGTTGGCATATTTTCTTGTTGCATTGAATTTGATGTATTCGCACTTTTTAGGAGCCGCTTTCATTTTCCACTTCGAGCACCAATTCTCCAATTCAATTAAATCTGCATCAATCAATCTATCATTCGTATCATAAATTTTCAAGTAAACAGTAGATAGTCACTTTGAAATTTGTCCCCAATACAATTAATATATAACAAGAAGAGGGTAGGCCCAAGAACAGATCCCTGCGGGACTCCGGACAATACGCGCCTCTCCTTCGATAGTATATCATTGATTTTGACTTGAAATTTTCTGTCCGTGACAAATGAATGAAGCCAATTTCTTAGTTTGGGAGATATCCCAAAGCTTTCCAACTTATGAATCAATTTGTTTATCGGCACTGTATCGAAGGCCCTCTGGAAATCAATATAGACGCTATGGGTATCTAACCCATTTAAAGAATTGAAAACAAGCTTGTTCTGGTAGGCGATCAGTTGGGAAATTG